ATTTAAAATGAATATATATCTCCTTAACACTGCTTAAACTTAGGGGGTAGAGCTGGTTACACAGTGATAGACACACTGTGCGATACAGTAATCCTAGCTACGTGGGTTCAATTCCTGGCCATGGCTAACATCAGGAATCTGAGACATCTGAACCGATCTTGCCTTCTTGCTGCCCCGCCTGCCCATCTCACCAGATTGAAAACTCTTCTCTTTAGAACTGCTTTTGTGTTCAGTTTGTTGTCCTCCCCCCCGCACCTTCAAATAACACTGTAGGCTACGTACGGTGGGAAAGAAGTTCAACAAAAAACAAAGACCCCCCCATATAGCCTTAACAGACTGTTGGGGCACCAGATACTCATTTGAGGCTGAATCGACCTAGGGGAGGCCCAGGACCAGTTGAAATAATCGTCACTGGTGTTGTCTGTGAGCGGGAATCGAAGCCGGGTCGCCAGGTTCGTAACCACTACATTACCGCTTCCCACAAGATGTTCAACTCACATATCTACACATTCCAATCAACGGTTAAACTACCCGCATCACTGATAAGTGTGGGCAAGGCCTTAATACTGCAGTGGATTGGCAAAAGGACGGTAAATTATGACAGTTAATTTTGCGTTCTGTTTTTGCATCTATGAAAAAAATTATGAACGCTAAACGTCACCTTAACCCCGAGAATGAATCGTAAATTAAATTGATTACAGATCTATGCCATTGTTCAGAAGTCACTGAGAAGCCCTCCCATTGATTGATCGTGGGGCCTCTGCCAATCTCACAATACACTACTGTTTCGAAAAGAAACCCAAATTGTTTCTTAAACAGCACCCAGTGGGATAGCAAGGTTGTAAATTGATTCCAAAATGCAGACAATGTTTTATCATCCTCGATCAATTGCTTTTAACATTTCATCACGTTTTATGCATTACGACACCACTAAGAACTAATCAATGTACACGTGGAAGATATCTGCTGCCACCTGTTGGAAAATAATATAGATTCTCTGAAATGTACTTTTGCGTGCCTTTCTGTATGTTTTAATCACGCGGCATCTACGGTACAGATGTAACAATATCTCACACAAGTGAAACAGCATTGCCAAACATTCTCCGATACGCTCCACACTGCACGTGTGACCGCCATCCTGCGCCAGGTATTAAACCATTTGACAGGCGGGGGGCTCACAAACCCCTCTCCTCGTGTGAGCCACATTTGATCTTAGAGACGTAGCAGTCAGAATCAAAAACCCCAGGGGGGTCACGCTTCTCCTACACTCATAATAACTCATTGTAAAATATAATCAATGCATCCCCCCCCCCCCCCCAAAACATAAACTCAACGAAACAATTGTGTATTCTTGGTTCTTTCGGTAAAGTCACGTTAAAGGGAAACAATAAAATAATAAAATATATATAAAACAATACAATTCTCACGACGTTTCGACTGTAACACAAACAGTCATCATCAGGTGTGAAAACCAACGGCAAGAAACATTTGAAAGAAGTGGCGGTTTGTATTTATTTATTTTTAAACGTTAGCACCATGGATAACGTTTAAAAATAAATAAATAAACACAAACCGCCACTTCTTTCAAATGTTTCTTGCCGTTGGTTTTCACACTTGAAGATGACTGTGTTATGGTCGAAACGTCGTGAGAATTTTATTGTTTTATATATATTTTATTTTATTGTTTCCCTTCAACGTGACTTTACCGAAAGAACCAAGTATATGAATCAATGCAGTCACGAAAGCTTTAAATCGAAACAATTGTGCTTTGAGGGGTAGGTAGGAGGGAGCGGAGTGTGGACAGCCGCGGTGATGAGATGTTAACTACCTCGCCTGGTATACGGGAGGTCGTCGGTTCGATCCCGACCCCGGCGCCTGCTGTATATTTGGAGTTTGCGGTGTCTCTCTCCCCGAGATGTTAACTACCTCGCCTGGTCTATAGGAGGTAGTGGGTTCGATCCCAACCCCGGCGCCTGCTGTATATTTGGAGTCTACGGTGTCTCTCTCCGGGTGCTCGCCTGGATTTTTCTCCGGGTCCTCCGGTATTTGCCTCCGCATTTAGAAACGTGCGTTTAGAGGATTTAGCTGCTATACATTTCCACACCATAAGCCACTTTGTTGAGCTATCATTTGTGGCCAGGTCAGTGGGCATTACCTGGTAAAATAAAAAACAAGAATGGCTAATAGTAACCTGGACTTTAACGCGAGCGACTAGAGCCGCTTGTTTTCCCACACACATCTGAAACCCCGAGCAAATAAAGAAGTCCGTCGGGTGGGCCCAGATGTCACACTTTGTAAAATGAAAGTTGGTCGATGATCACGAAATTGTGGGAGTGGAAACAAACGACTAACATAATTTCGGATAGTGGAGTGTGGGGGGAGTTGCTGTACGAAGGCGACGGTCGATCGAAAACACAGAGGCCAGCGTACACCTTAGAACGCAGGGTCATACGTACGCATGTCGAACTTCTTTGTACGTAAGTCGAACCTCTTTGTATGTGATGCATGTTGAACTTGTTTCGCACCGTACGTAGCCAACCGTGCTCATCGGAGGCGCGGTTTACGTCCGCAGGGGGGGGGATGCGTTCCTGAAAAGGTGCAACGACGTCAATCGAAACGAAACGTCAATGTTGAAACGACGTCCATCCAAAGCGATCTGCAGGGTAAGGTGGAGGCGATGGACGGGAGCCAAGGACGAGTGTTGAAGCGAAGCAGATCGGGTTGCGGTGTTAATAAACGCGACGACGCATTTACGAAACCGCGAAAAAAGGGGCGAGACGTACATCGGGAGTACTACTGCACAAGTGTTCGTGTTGGTGCCAGCGGAACAATTGACAAGTGCCCTTTACCAGGAGGATTTCGTGTGGACTGCCTTGCACGTTCAACTAGTTTATGTTATTTGTAGATTGCAAGGCTGTACATATGTAGATTTGTATCCGTCTGCGACCGCCATATAGCCAAATAGTTATGTCTATAAAAGGTGAAGCTTGGAATAATTATGGACGGCTGTCATGATCATCGCTCAGTTTTATTTTGACGTATGAATGTTGAACTTCCTTCCCACCGTACGTTGACAACCGTGCTAATCGGAGGTGCGGTTAGCATGTGAGTGGCTAATTCAGACATTGTATTTGCACACAAAGGCACGGGCGGTTCTCACTAGAGTTTATTGAAGAACTCATGAAAGCATAATTCTGGTTAGATGTACAACTGAATGTGTAACAAACCTGTTTTCGTGATAATGATTTACCTTGCAACACTCTCGTCGATGTGATCAAACAAAACAATACTATCTACAAGGACGGTTGTGTTAAGTCAATAACGTGTGAATATTTGACGGAAATTTCAATGATGTTGTACAATTACTGTGGTTGAGCAATCTGAACAGTTGGAAGAACACACAATACAGTCCGGACGACGAAAACTTTATTTGCCACCCAAAACTGGTGGCATGATTGACAGATCACGCCCTCTAGCGGAATATTTTTTGCTTAAGAAAATGCACTGTGTACATTTGATTTATCATAGCCATTGGGATAACCTGCCTGGCATTTATTTTTTTATGGAATGTACTGTGTAGCAATACATATTACATGTCCACGTATTCGACCAAGTAAATGTAACATCTGCATGTATTATTGCACGCTTAAACGAGAAAAATACTGTTTGTGGGCTTACGGTCTGATATCTTGCAAGACTGGAGTATACTTTGGTCCTCAACAGACTACGAATTGCGGTATACCTTTTTAAATGAAACACTGCACGAGTTTTCATTTTATTATAACCCTATGTGCTATGAATGAGTGGCAAGGTAGAACACTTTAACGATGGGATGCAATACAGATTCACACTTTCAGTGTGTACCCCTAACACGAGTGCCCTTTTAATTACACATATTTCCACGTGACATTTTCAGAATATCGCGAATAAATCGGTTTGTTTTAGAAACACGTTCTTAAACATTTGATTGTACGAGTAAATAAATAATTGTTCATAACGTCTGAAATCTCAGAGGAGTGTGACTCCTTGTGTCCAAGAATGGCTGTGCAAGAGATTTTCATCTTTTTAGATTTACACAATGTAAGGAGTTGCACTTTCCCACACACTGGTATTAGATCGGTATGTTGCATGGCAGACAATATGATATTTTAAATGTTGATGACAATGTAGCCAAATTACGTGAAAATGACATCATTTTATATATGTAAACATAAAATGGTATTTTTTGTGTGCAGTAATTGATAACTGGGCTGAGACCAACTGACTACACTTGAAAACCGGGTTTTATCACGTGGGTGGCCACCCTGATTCAAACCCAGGACCCAAGTGGTGCTGGTTTACTGATCTGACCTCTGAATCAAGCAGTCACTGCATGCGTAGAGGTTTCAAAGTGAGACGAAAACACTGACCAACTGTCGGCTTTTCTGAATCTTGACCTTTGTGTGCTAACCATATGAATTACAATATATGATAATGTGGTATTTCAAAGGGGGTGACTATTTGAGCTGCATTTGAAGAAGCAATTAATAAATGTGAATCTTCATACTTGCATTCGGTTCTCTAAATATCTTCACCACCTTTGTTAGTGTACATTCACACATGCACATAAATACCAGAGTTTTAGGTTTGAACTAAAAAAAATGTCATGGTACAAGCCAGGGTCTCACAATTGTTTTAAGGGGTCCTTTTATTCAGGGGTCCATGGGAAATGTATGTTAGACTGAATGAGACCTTTGTAAAATGTACGCTACAAGTCAGCAAATTGGTTCTGCATATGGAGTCTATAGACATCACCATATAACTGTTTCCACATAAACTGTGAGCCACTGGGGGTCTCTCGGACAGCAGTGGCACAACATTTCTTAAGTTATATTTATCCTAAGTTTGCAATATAAGTCAGTGTGAACTAATGGAAACGCCGCTTAAGAAATTGCATGCGACTGGCTATGGTCGCCCATATACATCATTTTATCTTGCACTGGCGAACTGCGATATAATCTAGACGTAACAGTCTACGGGTGGTAGATGATGACCACAGCTTTAGCAGCAGCACGTTCACACGACCTCGTTTTCGTCTGGGGAGATCCTACACAGCAGCCTTCGCAGCCTGCACGGCTTGCCCTCCTCTCGTTTCTCCTGGCCGTCAACTGACTCAACCCTGTCCTGGTCGACGGGTACGATCTTGTCGTAGAGGACGGCCACCAGAGCTAGGCACAGCACGGTGAGCGTGAATATCAGCAGCACGGTGAAGCAGGCAATGTTCCAGCCGTCGCGGAACGCCTCAAACCGGGGGCTTGTGAAAAACCTGGCCATGACTCCGTTTCCGTCAGGGATGCCTGCTATGATGGCGGGAAGCACGGTGGTGTTGTTCATGTCTGCCTTGGCTCTCACAAGTTGAGTTCGGCTGCAAATGAAATGCATAGAATGATCACAGAACAGTGAGAACATGGCTAAAATAATGTTTTAGTAAAAGTGCATACAGTACAATAGCTACAGCAGCTGATTCGAATCATTGCTATACTTTTATATAAACAAAAAAAAACTTGCAATATTATGTTGTTACAAAATAGATACGCATTTTTATGAGAAATAAAGTAAACATTTATATAGCATGTGTGTGACATAGGACAATTTAATGGGTAGGGCTCCTCACCTCCGAGCCAGTGTGTGCAGAGTAAACAGTTCCAATTGTGATGTTGTCCAGTAATTTCCATGAGATGGTATTGCCAATGGAGGTTGTTTCCTGCAATGTTGACCTTAAGGGTCCTGTGTGATCTTACAAACACAATGTCATAGCCAAAAGCCCATATGTGAAAATTCAAACGCATAATATCTCCATGTTCAAACAAGCATTGCTCATCACCTCTGTTGGGAGCCTTCAAAATGTCCAGAAGAAAAACTTTTTAAAACCTACATGCAAACAAAATTTACCCACTTACCTAAGTCTTTCGGGAAAAATGTTTCTGTTGATCTCGCTCAGCTGTAACCTGGTTAAATGACATACCATCATTGTAAACAAACCCAAATATAGAACAATCTTTGTAATGAATCGCAGCTTTTAATTAATAAACATTGTTATACTCTGTGTTCTGTACATTCTCGACCAAGATCAGATGCAAAATCGCAAGAATAATAAGCAAGAATAATAATACATTGGTATGTCAATAGGTCAATTACCACTCAATCTGTTGCCATTCGTGATGTAAACGGAATCTAGGGAGCATTGAAAGCTCTCTATCTACTTTCTGTGTGTGTGGTTCATTTGAGTACCGTGCTGGTTTTGGCATAGTTTCAATAACAGAACAGCACCGCTTGTAAAACGCACACGGCTCAATTTTTAACAAGGCCGCAAAATCCCCTCGCATTCTGAAGCAGAACACCTTCAAGGGCAAAACCAGTTCTGAAATTTAGCAAAAGTGAATATGCATTCTATGCTTAATTTAAGACAATTTGAATCATATTCTCAACAACAATTGTACTAAAAACACTTTAAAAAATAACGACCATTAAATGTGTTCACACCCGCGTGCACTGCGCTGCAATTTGCACACTCCCCTTATAGATCAACCAACAAAAAAACACAGCACATTCATGTGAGCATGCCAAGCAATTGCCTTTGTTTATTGGAATACACTGCATTATGACAAATGTGGGCTACTACCGCAAACTCATTTGGTGGTTAATAACATAACCTAAATGGGAAAGAACGGTGTGTCTGTGAGGGCTGCCTTAATTTGCATGTCGCAATCGTAGAATATACAACGCGTTCTTAAACCATTAGCGACCACAGTGAGCAGGCGAGCCCTGTCAGCCATGCTGTGTCATAGACAGATCGGCCTCTTGGACATTGCAGGTCACCGCGCCTCTCAGAACAACACCACGAAATATTATCTCACGGCTGACAAACACAAGAGAGCTTGGTGAAAAAAAAACGTACATTTAAAAAAAATAGAAACACTAGAGGACCGAAACGTGTCGATATTAATGAGAGAAAAATATATATATAAACCCTCCGCCTGAGATGTATTTTGATAGAAAACACGACGTTCGCATTACATATATCAGGATAAATATTGGGTTTGGTTGATGTTTACATAATCGCTCGGAGCAAAAATAAAGAACGATTAAAAAAAAGAATGAGGAAAAAAAACCTGCAATGGGAAGAACAAGCGACACACACACAAACACGCGCGGCTGATAAGCCACCAAGCACAACGCGAAGGGAGGCACCGCCGGCAGTGCGGCGCACGGTTTGACAGAATCCGCACGGATCGTGAGCCGCGTTATTATGGACGATTTACTGACGGCAAAAGTCATCATCAGAGGCGACGAACGCATACGCTGTTTAGAGTCACCTTCAAATCCAACGAGCCGTCATTTGCACGGATGCACAAATCTTCCTATTGTGTGCTCGCCCAGCGGTGTCTCTGCCGCCAGCTGATTCTGCCCGCGCGCATGCACAAAGCACACCACGGATCAAGGGGGTGAGCGGAGCAGCAGCGCATTGGCGCATTCTACCCCGGTCATTGGTGGTGGCGTTGAAGGGAGGCACGCCGTGCACCCATGCACTTCGTCGCACTGGTTAGTAATGCACCCTGTCATTCGCCAACTCTGACTGGGCAATTACTGACTCCTCTATCGCACGCGTTGGATGTTGCAATGATTGCATGGACTGGTAGGAATCCGCCTTTTCGCTGTTTCAATGGTACAGCCCAATAACTCTTGTCGATTCGTCCTCTCGGGTGGGCGCTCCACGTGGAATAGTCGGGTGGTACGTCTCTCGTCAGCGGATGAAAATGCGCCGCTTGCACGGACACTGCAGCACATGCAATACTGCGGCGTGTGGGATGCTCACATTAAAAATCTCCTCCGCTTAAAACTGAAATCATTGCAAACATTGAAGTCGCTCTAAGAAATGGCTCGCCTTGCAGATAATGTACGACATGTGTTAAGTTGACAATGAACAATCATTTCTTAGCATCCACGGTATTGATTTCAAAGCCAATTATTGTAATGCAAAATTGATCATTTCCATGAATCGCCTTGAGAACACGATTGCACGAATTTTACATTTTCAATAAAATTTGGTTAATTTTGTTATTGTCTTCAAATTAAATTGTATACTGATATGGCGTTATGATGTATGCTAAATGTGTGAATGTTTTGCGAGTAAGCAATCTTAATTACATGCCAGTTTATATTGCGGTTAATTACATTCTTTAATATGAGTGTTAATTTTGAATGCAGCCTCTTCTGTTTATTAAAATTCTTGATAACCCATTGAGTTAATCCATATTATTTATTCAATGTAATTGTTATAATTGATCAAATTATTTGGCAACAGTTTTCAGATATGTAATTTGGGCTATGGTTTAGGGCATACCAGAGCAGGGTTGACTACATATGGTGCGAAGAAAATTAAACATACAGTACTCACATATCGCAGTGAAGAGCAGACTGATGACAATTCATTCCTTAAAATATAAATTAAACTATTTTTTTAATTTTACCCACTGAGCTATATAGCTCGTTTTCAAAAGCGACCTGGCCACAAATGATAGCTCAACGAAGTGGCTTATTTCTAAAGAGAGAGGGAAAATCCGGAGGACCCGCAGAAAAATTCACGCGACCACGGAGAGAGAGAGAGAGACATGCAAACTCCAAACATCGGGATTGAACCCACGATATCCTGTATAGCAAGCGATGTAGTTCACATTTCTCCACCGTGGAATCATCATCGTGTCATTGGGAGTCAGACCTATGATTCGGCCCAAGCAGGCTCGCAGGTGAAACGTGAAAAGCGTGACGATCTCCAGCCCACAAATTCCTCCAGTTTTATTAAAACTCAGCCCTGTGCCCTTTATTATGACTACCTTCAGGACTTGCAACCACCCTGCAGCAGCAGCAGAGAATGAGCATGCTCTACACATGCGCCTGGCAGATAAGAAGCCTGCGCACCATAACTGTCATGACAACTGATTCACGTTCGCCCGCTAAATGGCTGCCAGAGAAATAGGACCACAACTGCTCCTCGTCCCATATGTAAACAAGGCCTGGACGCGGCCGAGTGCGGATTATTGATCGGCAGGCGCATGAATCACAGCTCTCAGTAACCACCTCCCCTCCCTACCACACTGCAAAATTCAAATGTTAACAGGGCACTGCTTGAGGCCACAAATTAAAATATCTTCAAGTTCCTCTCTGAAGACCCATCTTTTTCACTAGCGTATCCGTCCACTACTTCCTGTGCACATCCTTAAAACCTGAACCATTCTCCCCCTTCCCCTTCCTAACCTCGCTAGCCCTCCCTTTCCCTATCATCACCCTTCCTTGCCATCCCTTCCCCTCCCCAACACTCAACCCCCCATCCCTTTTCTTCATCAGCCAATAACTAATGTACAATTTATAATTCTTGTAAAACGCTTAGATAAGATAAGAAGTGCAATTTAATCACCTCCAAAATGCACCTACAGTGCAACTGTTTCTCTGAACTTACGATGCATTTGCCGTTTGTTTTCCCTTTGAATGCTGCACTGTATTCACGTTGTGTTCCTTTTCAATGCAAAATGTTGGCTCTGAAACAAGGATTCCAGAAATGAATTAATCCTTGATATCGTGGGACATCTTTATTAAACGAGCTTAACTAAGATATCTTGCAAATTTATGGATGTTCCACCAACATGAAAAATAACATCATTTATCAGAAATAGCCGGGCATGGGCATTTTGGCATAAAGAATCTTATCAACTACCCAGTGATGATATCTTAGCCAGTACACTGGGTTTAAGAAAATGAATGTAAGCATTTAAAGACAACGATTATATATTTCTAGTACTACAATCTTACGTCAAAGTATATTTATTTTACCAGGTAAGGCCCCCTGAGCTATATAGCTCTTTTATTAGAAGCGACCCGGCCATACGTTACAGCTCAACGAAGTGGCTTATCATGTGGAAATATATATATCAGCCAAATACTCGAAGCGCATGTATCTAAATGTGGAGGGAAAAATCAGAGGACCTGGAGAAAAATTCACACGACCACGGAGAGAAACAGACATCGCAAACTTCAAATATACAGCGGGCGTCAGGTTCAGGATACAACCGACGACCTCCTGTACACCAGGCATGGTAGTTAACATCCCGCCACCGTGGCATCCTCCAGCACACTTCAATGGAGCCAGGACAGGGTCACCATCATCTTTGTGGGGCAGCTGTTTTTGGATCTGTAAATATTCCCGTGACTTTAAAGTTCCCGGTTTTTGTCAGTTGCGTAACAATGACTCCGATGATGTCTTTGGCACCATCAGGCGCGTCACGTTGAGCATCGCTTGTGTCGGGGGGGGGGTTCCTGCCTTCGGAGAGGCAGGATAATGAGAGGGGGCCGAAGAAGCGATCACGAAAAAGAGTAGTCGATTACAATTTAAGGCGACTAATAAACTCATTTTTAAGTGGAAATGAATGACGCGATGCGCAGTGGACACCTCTCTGCCCATGGATCGTGATGATGATGATGATGAATAAACTTAACCCCGACTGATTGTGCGCAGCCCCTAACGAGTCGTTGCAATTGCAATAAACGATTCCACCGCTAGATGGTGCTGAGAGTGCGTCTGTAACTTGCACCTGCTGCCTCATTGAGAAAGGCAGTTCGTGTGTGCGGTGCAGTTACCACGTGCGGCCGCGAGATGGCGCCACGCTCCCTGCGCTCCTTGCGTCAGTTCTCGTCTCGCGATGTCAATGCTGACGGTGCCAATTACTTATATTCCTTGGTTCTTTCGGTAAAGTCACGTAGATAGAAAAAAAAAAACACATTAAAGATAAAATTCATAGAAATGTAATACAATTTTAATTATATTTTTATTTTCTATCTACGTGACTTTATCGAAAGAACCAAATGATATGAATTCCTGCAGTGGCGAAAGTTTTAAGACAAAATTGTGCCAATGACTCTTTATACCCTCTGCTGGCAATATATGGCAATTGCGGCTTTTGCTTGTGATCCTCTCACTTAGTGGCTACCACAGGGGTAGCCAACAAAAACATTGTAACAGGAAGGGCCAAGTTTTCTTCGGTAATAAAAACAACTCAATATTTCAAGAGCGGCGATGCATGTGAATACGAGACGGTGGTCCTTAATAAATAACGCCACGAAGCAGTCCTTAAAGGGCAGCGTTGGGCTCCAGAGCCCGCAGGTTGCCGACCCCAGGACTCTAGCCCATACCACACGTGTCCTTGTGAGGATGCAACAATATGTATATATCACTTCATCAACTAATATCGATTAGTGAACGCAAGATGCATGCAATAAATTGCGTGTGAAATGTGGTTTTTTTCAAATCCCTGTACTTTGTTTATATGTTAATGCGTGGAGTGAGCGGTGCACGTTTGGAATTAAATTGAGAAAACATGCGCATGTTCATGACATAATTGTTAAGGACGCAGGACATATCGGTCGGAGAAATCATTGCCGTTGTTTGGAATGAATCAGAATCGTTTTTACCATTCGAGCTTGCGTATATCAATGATTTTATAGTCCAACACAGGCCACATCACACGTGAAAAGATGGATAAAATATAAAATGCGTGCCACGATCTTCTCCCCCCACCACTCCCACGATTCAATTGCTGGGCTTGAGCATCGCAAATTGATGCATCCTGGGAGGCGATAAAACGATGAAATTTAGCTCATGGGCAGGTGCTGGTGGATTACCACATCACAGCAGTGGAGTGACCCCTTCAGCCACTAGAGCTTCTACGTTTACTCGTGTTTAACATACAATTATCAATCATGCGATCAATTTGCGATGTTCAAGCCCAGCAATTGAATCGCGGGAGTGGTGGGGGGAGGAGATCGTGGCACGCATTTTATATTTTATCCATCTTTTCACGTGTGATGTGGCCTGTGTTGGACTATAAGAACATTGATATAAGCAAGCTCGAATGGTAAAAGCGAGACATTAATGAGCATCAATTCACACACGGGCTTAGAAAACACGATTACATTGTTTTTGTTAAACTAATACTGTACAATAAACAACATTGCAAGCTCAAGTCACAGTGCAGTAACTTTCCTGGGCTGCCAGAGTCTGCCACTTCACAAGCAGCCCAGTGGAAATGTTCGTAGTTATCTGATCTGAACACTTCAGAAAAGTATAATTACATTCCTCCATCACAGTTGGGCGCTGTTGGTGTGTGGATCCGCCACCAGCACATACTCTCCTTTCTCTTGCTGACCACCTAATGCCAACGCTATTTGCTTAATGTGGACCTCCTGACACTGACCCCTATAGGACGCTTGACCCACTCCCCCTACAAGGATGGCCGCAACAGCCCTCTCCCCACAGGGTCAGTGAACTCCAGAATATCAACAAGTAAAAAAAAGTTCTTATTGTCCAGATAATTATTTCCAAAACGAACGTTTTGCCACAGCCTATGCATCACAGCACGTGCAGGCCGATGCTTTGGCGGCGATGTTTTTTGTTTTGCCGTGAAATTATAGCGACATCAGGGAGTAGTGGATGAGTAGTTCAGTTGGCACAGCGCGTGCGTTTCTCACTGCACTATGAGCCTGGCAAAATTGAGATCGGCTCCCAGCCATGGCTAACATCAGTCGCGACTGCTTTATGAATTCATCATCAGTGACCCCTTCAGCAAGCCGCACTGACCAACGTGGTGGAGTATGGTCAAACTACTCTTACGACTGACAAAAGTATAGGGACACCTTTGAACAG